ACCTAGGGGTCCATCGAATTGCCGTGGACAGCGGCCATGCACTGAAAGACAACATGATATGAGATTACTGTACTCTCAATTCATAAAATAAAGAGCTTAAAGAAACTTAAAGCTGCTGTAGGTTTTAAGGTGCCACCTCTTGTTGCAAACTCAATCTTGATGTCTGCTCTCCCTCTGTGAATCCTGACGAATGTCAAAGGGGTCACTTTACTCCAAACTTCAAAAGCTTTCTTGATGGAGGCATCCACATCAGCTCTCTTCATGTCAGGGGTGTAATTCATAATTCTAAGAAAATTAAAGTGCAGAACATTTTCTCACTGAAACAGTTTGATCAAATTGTTAAAGCACCAGGCTAGAAATCAGGAGATGGTGAGTTCTACTTGTGGATGTTGGATATCCGTTTGTCTGTAGTGGTGTAGGGCTTCCTCCAAGGTCTCTTCCAACTCTGCTATTCTATTCTATTCTATTCTATTCTATTCTATTCTATTCTATTCTATTCTATTCCATTCCATTCCATTCCATTCCATTCCATTCTATTCTAGTGTAGAGAGATCTTTAGGTCCATGATCTATAAAAGCAGAACATGAAACAGAATGTCACTGTAAAAATAACCGTGACTTCCTAGCATATACACACATCCACATACACATCCACCCCGCACATACATAGAGAAACACCTTGGCTTTTATATTTTTGTAGTCCTTTTTCTACTTTCATCTTTCTATCACAGCCCATATTTTGTGTTCCTCTCTTCTTTAAATAGTTAACAGTTGTCAACAAAGTTCCTGGTGGATGTACGGAACTTTTATCAATTCCCAAATTCTAATTTGTATCAAAATAGTTCAGCCCTTCCTATCTCATCTCATCTCATTTCATCATGTTATCCTATCTTGTCATCTTGTCTTATCTTGCCCTATCCTATCCTATCCCATCCTATGTCACCTCACCTCTCATCTTATCTTCTGTCAGCTACTATAGCTACACATAGCTTTTGATATCTTGATGTTAAAATTAACTCTTCTGTTCCTTCTGTTGAACTCATAATACTAGTTTCTGAGATAGGGTTTTACAAATTTGGCAAAATCTTGATTCCATATTTTATCTCCTTGTAACAGAAGAAGAACATGAATTTGACCCATTGTGCAAGAACAATTGAATTTATTCTTGCTGGACCGCCACACGTTACAGGAATGGAAAGGGTGATGTCCTATCCCATCCCATCCCATCCCACCTCACCTCATCGTATCATCTTATCTTCTGTCAGCTACTAAAGCTGTACATAGCTTTTGATATCATGATGTTAAAAGAAACTCTTGTGTTCCCTCTGTTGAACTCATAATACTAGTTTCTGAAAAGGGACTTTACAAATTTGGCTAAATCTTGAGTCAATGAAGATTCCACGTTTTCTCTTTTTGTAACAGAAGAAGAACATGAATTCGACCAACTGTACAAGAACAACTGAATTTATCCTTGCTGGACTGCCAAACGTTACAGGGATGGAAAGGGTGATGTATGCCAGTGTCTTTTTGCTTTATCTCCTGTGTCTGATGGGCAACGGGCTCCTCATTATGACGGTAATGGTGGACCGCCATCTCCAAAAGCCCATGTATTTCTTCCTTAGCAACCTTTCTTTCAAAGACATCGGGCACACCACAACATTCATACCCAAGCTGTTGCTCAATTATGTCTCTTCTAACAATTCCATCTGTTTCTACTGCTGCGTGATACAGTTGTGCTTCTACTTCTTTTTTGGAGTGACTGAGTTTTTCATCATCACTTTGATCTCCTTGGACAAATACGTGGCCATTTGCCATCCTTTGAGACACTCCACTATCATGACCTCATGGGTCTGCCTTAAACTGGCAATTGCAGCCTGGTTTGGCGGATTTTTCTCCATAATTTTCCAGGTCGTGATGATTGCAAACTTGCCCTACTGCACTTCCAACGTTGTCAATCATTTCTATTGCGATGTCGGACCCGTGCTGAAGATTGCAGGAGGAGATACCCGTCTCATAGAAGCCCTTGGCTTTCTTGTTGCTGTGGTGGTTGTTGTGTCTTCTTTGGTTTTCACCCTCATTTCCTACCTCTTCATCATCTACACCATTCTTCGAATGCCTTCAGCCTCCAGTCAGCAGAAGGCCTTTTCGACCTGTGCTTCACACCTGGTGGTGGTCAGCCTTTTGTACGGATCGGTCTTTTTTGTCTACTTAAGACCAACTATCAAGAACTCTTCCTTCAGTATGACAAAGTCTGTCGCCATACTGTATACTTTTATCATCCCTGTGCTCAACCCTTTCATCTACAGCATTAGGAACAATGAAGTGAAGGATTCTGTACATAAAATGATAGGAAGAAAGGTTTCAAGGCTCTGAAATCTTTCATCATCTCCAACTTGAACCCTTTGTTAAAAGAAATGGGAGGTGATCCCATTCTCTAACACATTTCTTGTTTATGAAATGCAAACCTCATTTGTCCTGCATGGATGTGTGTTCCTTCAAGTTGGGACGTTCCAGAAATATCAATCAAAATTCTTTTAGTTTTTGTTGCCTATGATAACAGGAAGGTAAGAGTAAATAATATTCAAGCGAGAGTCAACATGGATTTTGTTCAGTGGTGGGATTCAAATAATTTAACAACCGGTTCTCTGCCCTAATGACCAGCTGGGTAGGTGTGGCTCGGTGGTCATGTGACTGCATGGGCGTAGCCATCTCAATGTCACTCATGTCGATGGGCACTTTGCCTTAGCTGCTACAATGTAATAAGGGTTAACCGGAGAAGTGGTTTCTGTAAGCAGGGCAATAAAGATTAGGCTAGAAAAGATACCAGAATGTTTCCTTCCTGCCTTCCTTACAGGATTAGCCCTCTAAAGTGGGGAAAAAACAAAAGGAGATTTCTTCCAACAACCGATTCTCTGAACTGCTTAGAAAGTTAGCAACCGGTTCTCCCGAATAGATGCGAACTGGCTGAATTCCACCACTGATTTTGTTGTTGTTGGTTTTTTTTCATAGAAACTTTGTTCAAAAGCCTGTGGAAGATTGAATTAGGTACCCCTGAACAGTTGGGGTTCAGAGCATCAACTGTGTTTGGGAAGGTTGGGAAGACACAGTACAAGCATTCTGGTTCTCCTTCATGTCTCAGTATCATTCAGTATGATCAATCCTGGTCTCCATTTGACCACCAAACAGCCTTAGAGTGAATGGATTGGGCATAACAGTTCATACATATACCTCTCCTTTTTCTATGATAGTTTCAATTGAGGTTCAAAATTTGCGTGAGGAACTTGGGTGTGGACATCTTTCAGTTTGGGACAAGGTAATATCCAACTATGTATTTCAACCCTCAACCAACCAAGTGACTCTTTCAAGGTCATGTCCCAGTTGAGGTCTAAATGGACTGAGATTGAGTCCTAGAAAGACCCATGGCTGGAGATATTTGGACTTTATTGTCCAAATATTCTGTTCCTCCAGAATGGGACTGCATTTCCATGTCTGGGG